CTACTTAAAAAGTTACCCTGGTCTAGGATTTAACTGTTCTATTTTTGAGCAAAAAAATGCCACAGGCTTGTCTATGATACTTGGGTTCCACACCTCATGTACTGCTATCACACAGTGCCATCCCACCATCCAAATAAGAAAGGAGCTGGTGGGATGTCTTTTAAGATGGAATTAATCATTCATACCCAGGATTGTTTAGTCAGATTACAGCTCTATATAAAACAGACCAATAAAAATAATAACTTGACCACCTAATTTCTTTCTACTAAAAGGTTAGCGTGTTTCACATATATTTACTAACGAACCTAATGTTTTATAAATCTTTTATTTGAAACTATTCACAGGTTTGGATCCCCCATACCAGCCAGCTGGCAAATAATTAAATAAATAAATAAATAAACAAATAAATTTTAAAAACTATCCAGATAATCATAAAAAGTGAGGGCAACAGTTTAGAAGAGTCCAGATTTCCCAAAAGAGGCAGTACTCTATCCTTGTGTCACATTTCTTGCTTACAAACAGTAAACATTTTAAAATCTGATACTGAATGCTCACCAGTCAAAAAAACCAAGATGTCTCCAGCCATTTCATTCAAATGGATATCCATAGTCACTTTAACAATCTAAAGCAAGAAACACAAGCATAATATGCTAGTGGAAATACAGACATTCCCCATCACCACCTCCCCTTGCTCCACATAAAAATTAAATTTGGTTCTCAAAAGTCCTAGGACCCAAGAGAGCTGTCATTAAAATAGTAGGGGATAAATGAATTATCAAACTACCCCGTTAACTAGATTCACAGATATTAAAAAAAGACATAAAAAAGAATGCCAGGTAATACCGCTTGAATATACGCAGTATTTTCTCTGTCTCGTGGGCCAATCAAATTGCAGAATTTCTCTCTGACTGGATAAAGCCTTCCGGGTATATCAAATATTGGACAATTTCCAAAAAACGCAGAGAGCTTGGCTAATTCCATAGTCGCTGACATTATCACCACCTTCAAATGTTCCTTCCTATTAGGAGACTTCTCCTGAAATAGCTTCTTCAATAAACCAAATAAGATATCCTGAAAAAAAAGTAAATTTCTAATAAGTCACAAGTGCACCTAACAGCCAACCTACTTTAAGTATATTATTATCCTGACTAAGAAGTTCCTATTTCAGTAGATTAAAATATAAGAGGAGGCAATTTTCTATATAGTAAAAAGCTATCCCAAACAAGTAAACTACTTGCTAATAAAAAAAATACTCACTGTAGTTAGAGTTCTCTCATGTGCTTCATCCAAAATAATGACACTGAATTTGTTAAGATTTGGATCTCCCAGAATATGTTTCAGTAAACATCCATCAGTCATGTATTTGATTGCTGTTTCCTAACATTAAAACAGCAGAGTATATATCAGCTTATGGTATCACAGAAATTTACCACTACTTCTCCAACTAAATTTTCCCACAAATAACCAAGGTCAAGGATTCAGATCCCCATTCTGGCTGGCTGCAAAAAAAAACCCAAAAAAGGCAAAAAAAAAAAAAAATTCCCGTAAAATAAATGATCAAACTAATCTGACTGGATAAAAGAGTTCATAAAATAGTTTAACGACGATGGTAAATTATAAAACGTGATCTATACAGAGACAAAGAACTAAGATGGGTGTTCTGGAATAAAGAACAAAAGTCATGAATAAGGAGATACAATGAAGTCATTGGAAAGTGGCAAGATAATGAAATGGCTCCATGTGAGCAAGCCGGGGAAACAACAGTAAACTGGGATTCAACTCCCTGCTTCAGTCCCTATTTTAGAGGATTCAGGGGAAAAGGTAGAAGAAATGTAAATGCACACTTCCCATTCACTCTCTCCTTTCCCCTATCCATTCTTCTATAAAAAAATAGTGTCATTCGACCAGCATTCAAACAAGGTGAGAATAATGTCCAATGTCTAGAAGAAACAACAGTGATATCCATAAAACAAGGGAAGAAAAAAAGGAGAAATTCTCTGGCAGTGACCACTAAGAAGGCAAAGATAGTATTTTGGGGAAAGTCACTCTGTGCCATATTTGATATTTTCAGGGATTATTTTGTATCTACTGCAGGATTAAGAAATCCTGAGAAAATGTAAACTGTAAGTATTAACTATTAAGAAAAAACATTTGAAATTTGTTGGGGCATGCATATAGAAAATGCTTAATACTTGCTAACTTTCTTAATTAAGTTGTCAGTTTTCCATTGACTTCAAGAATACAAACAATTTCAATGAACCTTTAAAACATGTTAAGTGAAATAAGGAAGGCACAACATACAAAATACTCTGTGATTCCACTTTTATGAGGTACCTAGGATAGGCAAATGCATAGAAACAGAAAGTAAAACAGAGGTTACCAGAGGCTGGGGAAGAGGGAAACAGGGTGTTTAATCTACTGTTTAGTAGATATAGAGTTTCTGTTTGGGATAATGAAAACTTTCTGAAAATAGAGGTGATTGTTACACAGCACTGTGAATGTAGTTAACACCACTTAATTGTACACCTAAAAATGGCTTTCTGAAAATAGAGGTGATTGTTACACAGCACTGTGAATGTAGTTAACACCACTTAATTGCACACCTAAAAATGGTTAAAGTGGCAAATTTTATGTTATGTATATTTTACTACAATAAATTTTTTAAACAATATAAATGTAACCTACATGTCAAGGATCTTTACAGCTAAAAATACATGAGAGAATCCTAAGAAAAATAAACATAATTGTCACTAATAAACTAATTGAGAAGGAAGAAAATGAGACAAATATCAGACACTCAGAGCTAAAGCATTAAAAATGCACAACAAAATTAATTCTAATCTGAGGGTTTGTTTCTTTAAAATATATATGGAATTTTGAAGTTAAAAATCTTTCAGAGGCCGGCCCGTGGCTCACTCGGTAGAGTGCGGTGCTGATAACACCAAGGCCACGGGTTCGGATCCTATATAGGGATGGCCGGTTTGCTCACTGGCTGAGCCTGGTGCTGACAACGGATGGCCGGCCGGTTTGCTCACTGGCTGAGCCTGGTGCTGACAACACCAAGCCAAGGGTTGAGACCCCCTTACCGGTCATCTAAAAAAAAAAAAAAAAAATCTTTCAGAACTTTCTCTACTCTTTCTGTAAGATTACAGTACCTAAATGAAAACCTACAAAACTTTTGTACCTTAGAGCTGCAATCATCAAAACGAACTTGGTATCCCACTTTGGATCCCAAAGTGCATTTCATTTCTTCAGCAACCCTCTGAGCAACTGATATGGCAGCTACTTTTCGTGGCTGAGTCACACCAATCATACCATGTTGTGAAAACCCTATTAAAACCAGAGATAAAAAGCACAATGTTAGCAATTACTTCTTCTTACTAAAGCTAAATTGTTTCAACAAACTGCTAGAAAGTTTCCAAAAGAAAACCCTGCAAATTAACAACATACTATGTTACATTTACACCATGGAAATTTAAGTATTAAGAATACATATTAATAACCATTCAAAATGTACATGTTTTAATTAGGTTTGACTTTTTTTTTCAATTACTGTCTAATGACTTACTCTAAACAGTAAGTCATAATTTTAAAACCTAGGAATCCGTAAAGCTCCACAGTCTTCCTTAAATAAATTTACCTTTGCCACAGAAGTAAAACTGGATTTAAATATACCAATCTTTCATAGATTCTATAGGCATTTCACACCATCTTAAAATCTCTGGAAGTGCATCTTACAACTGATGGCACTTTTTCCTTCTTAACAGCATATAAAACACTGGCAAGTCTTAATAGATGGCATCTTAGATTTGATACATTAGAATAAGTTAATATAATTTGGGGGTTTTATTTTTTATGTGGATCATATCAAATATAACTTTGCTCTTCACCAACCTTATAATAGAAAGTTTTGTCATACTAAAAGGAAAGACACTTTGTTAGCTGGCTTGGTGCTGGCAGTCAGGGAATAAAATATTTACCTGATAATGCTCTGGAGAAAGAACCAAGAAATACTAATGTCAGCAACATACAGCAACATATCCCTTCCACCTCAAAATTATTTCCATCTCCAATGGTTGATATAGCAAGATGACCTAATTCTATAGAAAAAATTAATAGCTACCTGTAACTCTTCTATTTGGAATTACTATAGTAATGAAAAATGAAAAAAAAAAATTGCCATCCACACTAATTCCTAAATCTGAAATAAGACCATAAAGAATCAAGGGAGACACAGGGAGGGTGTGCCAAGAGAAGAAGTGGGACTGTAAAACAAATAGTGGGCATTTATACAGTACAGAAGCCTTTAAGAAAAGAATATTTAAAAAATACTCCCAATATTATCCCAGAATAAAATTACCTGCTTCATATAGGTATTTGGGGAGTTGAGTTGTTTTACCACTTCCTGTATTTCCAGTAACAATAAGGAATGAATTGTCCCTTACAGCTTGAATAAGTTTTTTTCTTTGTTTCTGAATAGGAAAAGTTGGAGTAGTTCCTCCCTCCTGTGAGGTGCATCCTTTCTCTTCTGTAGTAAAAGGAAAAACAATTGTGCAATTAAAAAGCCTGTAAAGATACCTCTGACTCAATTTCTTAGAACTGAGAAAAGCAATAGAACGTTAGGCTGGAAGGGATCAGTCAATGACTTCTCAGTTACATCACATTATGTACAATTCATAAGTGAGAGTTATAAGCCCAGGACAAATTTTTAGTAAAATCTAACAACTTGAGCATTTGTTAACGCATAACCCAAAGTATCTAACAAAGTAGACCTAGCACAAGGCAACATATACACACGCATACCTACACAGAAGCACAAAACCCAATTTTATTAAACAATAGACCAAAAACTGGAATAGGGCAGAAAACTCTCAGCTGAATTAGAAGCCACATGTGTCTGCTTCTGATTCATGGTTCAAGTTAGGTCCCTGTTCAGAGTGTGACTGATATCCCAGAAGGCCAAGTGGTGGGTAACCATGGAAACTGGCTCCTGGAAACTGGCTCCCTTCATACTGTACCCAAAGACAGGCTGGCGGCCCGACGAAGGGGGGCGGGGGCGATGACTGGGTAGAGAACAAAGGCTTTATAAGCCTGTTTAAGAGCGGAATGCACTTGGCCGTTGGGGTTCACTTTTTGACTCCTAGCAAGGTTCTCACCCAACTTGGATTTGGGACCGCCCCCCTCGAAGCCAAAGTGCTCACTGGACGCAAAGTTGGCCTCGGACTTGGAGGGCCAGGAGAACGCCGCGCCTTCCTCCCCACTCTTCTCTGCCGGCCAGAGGCGTACTTTTATCCCCGAAAACCCCCACGCTGCAACTCCCGCTGGCTTGAGCAGCGTCCCGGACCGCACCTCTATCAGCGATGGAAACGGCCGAGGGCCGCTCTTCCTGGAGGTCTCGAGACCGCTCACCCTCCTCCTGCCGCCTTGGCGCCCTGCCCGCGACGGCGGGAAACCGGGACATAGACCCGGCCCAGAGCGGAGGTGAGCACGTCCACCGATCCGGGGAGATGGGAGGGGAAAGGCGAAGACGCTCCCTGATGACGTCGAGGTGTTTACTTCCGCGCGTGCGACTCGTAGCAAGGGGAGGGGGAGCTTCTAGGTGACGCGGCGCGCGGTGGCCCGAAAGCTCCCAGACCAGCGCGGCTGGACAGTGAGCCGAGGCCCCGCACCCAGGGGTTTCCCGCCAACAGCCACGTGAGCTCCACTTCCGGCCGCGAAGCCATCCCCGAGGCCTGAAGGCCGCCTCCGGTTTCTTCACTTGTGTGCCAAAGCGACATCCCTTTTCTCTGCCACTGTGATGACTGCATCCTATTCTGCCTTCACACACCTGACATCATATGACCCTTTGCCAGGAGCTGGAACCAGCCTAGAGTTCGGAGATCTGCAACTCGTTCTCGCCTTTCCCGATCTGAAGTGACCTGTTCAGGGCACACAGCTACTGAGTTGTGGAGCGGAACTTATAATTTTGTAGTTTCCAAAACTTAAGCCCCCAACTCCGTTCATTTCCTTCGTAGGGCTCTGCGTTTTAATTTATTTGCATGTCTTCCCCTCCCCCAACTGGACAGTAAAGCCACACAAGAGCTGGAGCTTCAGAATACCTCTGCACACCCAGTGCCCAGCTCAGTAGTTAAAGGTGGGCTGTCAATATTTGTTGAATTTGCTGGATGGCTGAATGAATAATGATCTCCTTGGAGATTAATCTCACTTTTAATAAATGTGCACTCCTTGGAAACCACAATAGCTAAAAAGTTAATCAGATATTCAACATCTGAGGTGGGGTGACTTTTCCAGTAAAGGTACTTTGAGGGGCAAGTATTTCTGTTATAGAACTTGCCGATTTTTATTTTCTTTTTTAAAATTTTTTCTTTTTTTTGTGACTGGTAAGGGGATCGGAACCCTTGGCTTGGTGTTGCCCGCACCACGCTCAGCCAGTGAGGCACTGGCCATCCCTATATAGGATCCGAACCCGCAGCGGGAGCGCCACTGCGCTCCCAGCGCCGCACTCACCCGAGTGAGCCACAGGGTCGGCCCAGAACTTGCTGATTTTTAAAATAATTTTTTTTTTTTTTCCTTTTTTTGTGTCCGGCAACGGATCACAACCCTCAGTGTCGCGCCCGTACCGGACCGGGACTGGCAACGGGATCGCAACCCCCGGTGGTGCCCCCGCGCCTCTC